TTTCAATAACCTCATATGCATACGAAAGCTGAACAGTGAATAAGGGAGACCGTAGAAGAATTGATGCTTTTGAGTTGTGCTGTTGGAGGAGAATATTGAAAGTGCCATGGGCTGCCAAAAGAACCAAAAGATCCATTTTGGAAGAAGTGTAGCCAGAGTGCTCCTTGGAGGCCAAGATGGCCAAACTTCGTCTCTCATACTTTGGACATATTGTCAAGAGGGACCAGTCACTGGAGAAAGATATCTTGTTTGGTAAGGTAGAGGGTCAGAGAAAAAGAGGAAGACCCTCAATGAGATGGATTGGCCAAGTGGCAGCATCGATGGACTCAAGTGTGGCAACAGTAGTGAGACTGGCCCAGAATCGGGCAGTGTTTCATTCTGCTGTGCATAGGGTTGCTATGAGTCAGTACTGACTCGATGGCACCTAAAAACAACAACAAATACAGGGCACACATAGACTGCCAAGCATTGTGAGAATTGCACAAGCAAAAGAAGACAAAATAGATGATTGGGACATACTAAATATTAGAAACTTATGTGCATCAAAAGATTTCGCCAAAAGAGTAAAACGGGAGCCTACAGAATGGGAAAAAATCTTTGCAATGACTTATCAGACAAGGGATTGATTTCTAAAATCTATAGGAAACTAAAACACCACTACAAGAAAAAGAGATATAATCCAATTTAAAAATAGGCACAGGACATGAACAGACACCTCAATAAAAAAGACATTTGGGAAGCTAACAAACATATGAAGAAATGTTCACGATCACTAGCCATTATTGTTGTTGTTAGGTGTCGTCGAGTCCACACCAACTCATAACGACCCTATGCACAGCAGAATGAAACACTGTCCAATCCTGGGCCAACCTCACTATTGTTGCCAAAAAGTGGGAAATAGAAATACCTTATGATCCAGCAATTCCTCTACTTGGCATATATTCACAAGAAATACAAGCCACAACATGAGTAGATATGCACATACCAACATTTGTCACAGTCCTATTAACAATAGGGAAAAGATGGAGACAGCCTAAGTGCCCACCAGTGAAGAAGGGATAAACAAACTTTGGTACATATGCACAATGGAATATTATACTACCTTGAAGAATAACAAGGAAGCTGCAAACCACAACATAACATGGATGAACTTTGAGGATATTAAAGTCACAAAAGGACAAATATTATATAAGACCATTATTGTAAAAGTTTAAGAAAAGATACCCATACTAAAAGAAAAAAATATTATTTGTTGGTTACCAGGGTTGGGAGCACAGGGTAGGAGATAGACACATTATAGTTTGGGTGTTAGGGAGGGCAGTACACAAGAAGTGGAAGGGAGATAGAACAACAAGGTAGATAGGGGAACATTTCTGCAGGTTTGCATGGGCTAAATGAGACAGAGGTAAATAGTGATGTATGCTCAACCTTGGAATAACTGGCTTCTGTGGTAAAGGGATCCAGACAAAGTCTTAATGGGTAAAAGGGGAAATAATGTTAAGATGCTTGACTTATGAATATTGGTTTTCCTTGCCTGTTACTGTAAAATAGACACTTGAATGGAATAGAAAGAAACATTGGGAAACATGGTGACAGAAAACTTGCAAGCCTGTCTTCAGCCTATAACTGATTGGAATACCTAAAAGGGTTCTAGAACTTCCCCAGTGAAATAGTCTTCTTGCAAAGCCTTTGTAGTGTACAAGACCTTAGGTGGAATCCTGAACCCCATGCAGAACCTTCTGAGGTATAATATTCCCACTTGAAAGGACATGCAGACCAGCCTGGAAAAGCTAGAGAAACAGAATATACTTCTTGAAAGAAAGACCGGCAGGGAAAAACAAACAAACAAAACAGCAGTTTGATTGGCTACTACAGGAACAAGCAAGTTGTTTGCTGGGAAGCCATTAAGGCAAGCAAGCAAGTCTCTTCAGGAAAAACCCCATCCAAGACTGAAACTTAAAGGGAACACACAAGCAGGAATGTAAGTTTGTTGGCAACCAGGTTGATCTACTTGTGAGTGGAAGTAGAGGAAAGACAGAAATGAAGATATGGGCTGAGTTTGACCATGTTCCATAGACTCCCATCGACCTGGAGATGACAGAGAGAAAAGAAAGAGCTGATTGGTCTGAAGTGTGGTGAGGCCTGTGGAGTCCTAAGCCCATGGGTAAGGAACTAGCCATGGAAGGCTAGAGTTGAAAGTGAAGCGTTCAGCTGATATGAAGTTTGAGGAGATTCACAAGAATGCCCAAACTTGCAGATAGTACCCATTTGACTTAGCTTAGATGGCTTGATGATCAGAACTCAACTAGAGGAAGATAAAGAATTTTGATAAAGGAAGTGAGTATAAATTATTACAATTTGATGAACTTGACCTATACTTATGGATGTAGTAACTCAAAATACCAATTGAAAGGGAAGAAGTATTCACATCAAGGATCAAACTTATCCCCTCTGTATACAGGGTTGATAGGGATGGGCAACTTAGACACTGGCTACCTAAAATGAGGGGCCTATAAAGGCACAAAGGCTTACACGTTTTCAAGAAGGAGTTTAGTTTCAGAGTGTGCGGGGGAAGGTAGAATCCCCACTGAATAGTTTTCATCTTGTCTAAACAGGTCTGGTGAAAGGAGATGAGGATAAGATTCTTATGATTCAATAGTGAGTAATTGTTATCATGATTAATTGTGATTATCACAACTGTAAAAGTAGTTTTGTAACAAAAAGGGGGGAGTAGTTAATCTTACATTCCAGGAACAAAGGACCATCAAGGGAAAAGGGTATGAATGGAATGTGGGACCCTATCCAGAGAAGCAGCAACACCAGAGATGGAGGCAGAGGTGATAGCATGGAGAGGTGGAGCAGCTGAGGATTCTAGACTCATGGAAAGAGAAAGGATGTGTGCTGGCAGTCAGGAGGCAGGCTTGTAGAATGTGCCCTTGGGTTGTTTAAATTATTATATATTCCTGAGTGTTTTTTAGTACATAAAGAAAAAAAACAACAACAGAAGGAATCAAAGCAAATACTGTTGAATGATGATGCTTGGAGGGCATGGTAATCATTGCACTGAAATGAAATACAATAGGATCAGTTCAAAACCAATGCTCTCCCATGTAAACTATCACTCAATTCACAATAAAAGTTAAAAAAAAAATTTTAGTATCTATTGTTGTTATTAAGTTCCATCTAGTCCATTTCAACTCATATCAACCCTGTATGGTGTTTCAAAGGAGTGGTTGGTGGGTTGACCATCGGACCTTGCAGTTAGCAGTCTGGTACTTATCCTACAGCACCACCCCAGCACTGCAAATGGAGGAAATTTAAGTACAGGTTATGTTAAAGTTGGACTGAGCAACCATATGAAACAGAGTAGAACTGCACCATAGAGTTCCAAAGCTGTAAATCTTTACAAAAGCTGACTGCCACATACTTCTCCCATGGAACAATTGTGGATTTCAACTGCCAGCCTTCCAGATAGCAGCTGAGAACTTATCCACTGCACCACTATGGCTCAGCAATCAAGCTTGCATTATCTGCATATTGCAGGTTGTTCCTGAGTCTTCCTCCAATCCTCATGTCATGTTTTTCATATAATCCACCTTCTCAGTTTTTCTGCTCAGTATATAGATTGAATAAGTCTGGTAAAAATACTTGGTTATATACCTCTGAAAATACAGACAATTCTATTTCCTTGTAAATCATCTTGGATAGTTTATTTTTATATCCTATTACCTTTTGGTTATCAGCATAAATCAATAAAACTGGACAATGCTAAACAACAATCATGAGATAGAGGCTTTGTTACCCAAGCATTCACTGCTTCCCTTCACTCACCACCTATCCATAGCCTGGACTGCACCCCTCGACTCTGGTCCGCATACTGAATGGAACATGATATGTTTCTAGCATTTTCTTTTACCACAAAGGAAGTCTCCACATCAAACATGCCATGACTATCTAAATTCATTCTTGTGTCTGAGGACAAATCCTGTCCCTGTGGGTCTTTCCACTTCACTATTGGCTGGGGGAACCAGCCTGAAGACTGGCAGCGGAGCTGGATTCCTCCATCAACATATCCCGTGAGAGAAACAAGAGGAGTTGAGCCCCAACCTGGGGAGAAAACAGAAAAGGGATGAAACAAAGATTATACACCAAGTTGATCAAACACAATATCAATCTCTTGCTCTCTCACTTTTTTTTCATCTCCCCTGTATCTTCTCTGTCTCTCTCACTCCATTCTCCTCTCTCTCCCTAACTCTTTCTCATTCTCTCTTTCATACACATATACTTACTGCTTACTGTTCTAAACTTTTCCAAAATCTTTGTTTAATCCACATTTATTTGCCATCTATTATATGCAAATATATGGAATCCTGGTGTGGTGCTCTAGGATAAGCATTTGACTGCTAACCATGAGATTGGTGGTTCAAACCCACAAGCCACCTCTTGGAAACCTGACTCAATGGCACTTAACAACAAGATATGCCCAAGTATTTCCAAGCACTAAATATAATAAAGTGAATTATACAGAGCTCCACATAATGAGGAGTCTACTGACTCATTTGTAGTGTAAACAAATACATTTCATTTTAAAAAGTGCAACTACAGGAACATAGTCAAGTTGGTAGAGAGGAGCAATTAATTATGAAAGGTACAATTGACATTTGCATACTGCTGTGTCAGATTAATAGGTGTACAAATGGGAGCAGGAAAGAAGCATGCCAGGTAGAGGAGTAAGTGTATACCATGGTGTGGAGGATTGCTAGGCTGTAGTGTGTTTAAGAACCTATGAGAATTTAGTATACCTGGAATGTTAAGTACCAAAGAGTAACAAGTATGAGATGAGGTCCACGTGAGTGTCGGTTATGGAAACTGTGAGTGCATTGACCTAAGAGATGTGAATGATTGCTTCTGTAGGTAATGAAGGTACGGTAGGACTGTTGACTGGTTTCCTCCAAGTGGGATTTATGAACAGGTCTGCATTGTAACAAGTCCTTCAAAAAAATTGCATGAAGAATGGATCACAAAGACCATGCAAGAAAGGAATGGTCATTTAGTTGGCCACTGAATTCACTGTAATAAGAGAAAATAGGTGTTGGAGAAGAGGGAATCTATGAAGAGAGAGAACAGATGCAGGGGTTATTTGTGAAATTGATTCAATAGAACTTACTAAAGGTTGACAAAGTATTAAACTTGACCTCTTGCAGAGGTAATCTACACATGACCAGTTGTTATTGCCTATTCCCCAACCAATACAGAACTGATCCTGTATTTTCTTTCTGCCTTCCCCGGGGTCTAGACTTATGCTTTTTGTTGGTGGTGTTGTGTGCTATAAAGTCAGTTTCAACTCAGTGACCCTGTATAGAGTTTCCTAAAGCAGTCAGTGGATTTGAACTATTGATCTTATGGTTACCAGTCCAGTGGTTATCTTATGTCACCACACTTGAACATCTTGTTGTTTTTAGGTACTGTCCAGTTTGTTCTGATTCATAATGACCCTATACCCAACAAACTAAACACTGCCTAGTCCTGTGCCATCTTCACAATTGTTGTTACATTTGAGCCCATTGCTGCTGCTACTGTGTCAATCCATTTTGTTTGGTGTCTTCTTCTTCTTCACTGACCCTCCACTTTACCAAGCATAATGTCCTTCTCCAGGAACTGACCCCTCCTGATAATATGTCTGAAGTATGAGAGGTGAAGTCTTACTATCATCCCCTCTAAAGAACATTCATACTGTACTTCTTCCAACACACATTTGTTTGTTCTTTTGGCAGTCCATGGAACCTTTAATATTATTCCCCAACACCATAATTAAAATGTATAGATTATTTTACCGTCTTTCTTATTCATTGTCCAACTTTCACAAGCATATGAGGCAATTGAAAGGACCTTGCTTAGGTTAGGCACAACTTAGTCTTAAAATTGGTATCTTTACTCATTGACACTTCAAAGAAGTTTTGCACAATAGATTTGCCTAATACAATATGTCCTTTGACTACTACTTCCATGAGTGTTGATTGTGGATCCAAGAAAACTGAAGTGTTTGACAACTTCAATCTTGTCTCCATTTATCGTTATGTTATTTATTGGTGTTGGTCCAGTGATGGGGATTTTTGTTATCTTTCATTGAAGTGGAGTCCATAATGAAAGCTATAGTCATTGATCTTCATCAGTAAGTGTGTAAAGTACTCTTCACCTTAAGCAAGCAAGGTTGTTTTATTTGCGTATTGCAGGTTGTTAATGAGTCTTCCTCCAATCATGATGCCACATTCATATAATTTAGTTTCTTGGATTATTTGTTCTGCATACAGATTGAATAAGTATGATGAAATATATCATTCTAGCACACATTGTTTTCATTATTTTAAAACATTTAAATATCCCTTTTTCTCTGTTCTAACAACTGCCTTTTGGGCTATGTATAAGATCCACATAAGTAAAATTAAGTGTTATGGAATTCAGCTACGTAAGTGGAAAACATATCCTCTTGGATAGGAACACTTAACATTGTGAAAATCTCAACACTACCCAAAGCGAGCTACAAATATAATGCAAACCCAATCCAAATTCTAACAACACTCTTTAAAAAGATGAAAAAATTAATCCCCAAAATTTATTTGGAAAGGGAAAGCAACCAAGACAGTAGATTAGGCAGACTCATTACTTAGACATTCTGCAACAAAAATAAAGGAGACTAAATGAAACACATAGAGATGATAATTACCCTGAGTTTCAGCATACACACTGGATAAGTATGAGGAAAGGATGCAACATTGGTGTGCACTTTCCTGCTCTTAAACCATTTACTATCCCTTTGTTCTGTTCTAACAATTGCCTCTTGGTTTATGTATAAGTTCTTCATGAGCACAATTAAGTGTTCTATCCATTCTTACAAATGCTATCAAAGTTTGTTATGATTTACACAGTCAAAAGCCTTTGCATAATCAATAAAGCACAAGTAAACATCTTTCTGGTATCCCCTGCTTTCAACCAAGATCCATCTGGCTTGAATTTCTGACAGTTCCTTGTTGATGTATTCTTGCAACTCTTTTTTTAATTATATTCAGCAAAATTTTACTTACATGTGATATTAATGATACTCTTCAATGATTTCTGCATTTTTTGGGGGGTCACCTCTCTTTGGAATGGGCATAACCAATTTGTTGGTCAGGTAGCTGTCTTCCAAATTTCTTGGAAGTACCTCCAGTGCTACATCAGTTTGTTGAAAGATTTCTATTTGTATTTCATCAAGTCTTAGAACCTTGTTTTTCACCAATGTCTTCAGTGTAACTTGGACATCTTCCTTCAGTACCATTGGTACTTGGTCAGATAATATCTCTTAAAATGAATGAATACTAATCATTTATTTATAGCACAGTGATTCTGTATACTACTTCTATTTTCTTTTGATGTTTTCTGCATCACTGAATATTTTGCCCATTGTTGTGGTTGTTGTTAGGTGCCATTGAGTACTGACTCGTAGGGACCTTATGCACAGCAGAACAAAGCACTGCCTGATCCTGGGTCAACCTCACTATTGTTGCCACGCTTGAGTCCATCAATGCTGCCACTTGGCCAATTCATCTCACTGGGGGTCTTCCTTTCCTTCTCTGACCCTCCACCTTACCAAACATGATATCCTTCTCCAGTGACTGCTCCCTCCTGACAATATGTCCAAAGTATGAGAGACAAAGTTTGGCCATCCTGGCTTCCAAGGAGTATTCTGGATGCACTTCTTCCAACACAGATCTGTTGGTTCTTTTGGCAGCCCATGGCACTTTCAATATTCTCCTCCAACACCATAGAAACATTCAATATTGCATTGCAAGTCTAGGCTTGAATTTTTTTGCTCAGTTCTTTCCACTTGGGAGGTGCTGAGCATATTTTCCCTTTTGATTTTCGAACTCCAGGTCTTTGCACATTTCTTTATAAAGCTTGACTTTGTCTTTTCCAGATGCCCCTTGAAATTTTCTGTCGAATTATTTTACCCCTCATTTCTTCCATTCACTTCTATCATCAGGTGATAGTTTCCAACAGACCCTTCCTCTTTGTTTCCAACCTTAGCATTCCAATCATCAATAATTACTAATGCTACTTGATTGCTTGTTTGATCAATTTCATATTGAGGAATTTTGTAGAATTCTTCAATTTCACCATAATTGCATTTAGTGGTTGGTGTATAAATTTGAGTAATAGTGGTATTATCTGGTCTTCCTTGTAGGATATGGATACCGTCCTATCACAGACAGCATTGTACTTAAAAATAGATACCAAAATGCTTTTTGATGATGAATGTTACACAATTCCTCTTCAATTTGTCATTCCCAATATACTAAACCACATGAATGTATGACTCAGAATGGCCAATACCAATCCATTTCAGCTCACTAATGTTTAGAATATCATTGTCAGTTTGTCTCATTTGTCAGTTTGTCATACTGTGGTGACTTGCATGTTGCAGTTCTGGAAACTATGCCCCCGGTGTCTTAAATACCAGCAGAGTCAGTCATGGTGGACAAGTTTCAGCTGAGCTTCCATGCTAAGACAGACTAGTAAAAAGGAGAGATGGGCTACTTTTGAACATTTAGTCACTAAGAACCTTATGAATACCAGTGGAAAACTTTCAGATAGTACCAGAATATTGAATATTGAAACATGATGAACAGCACCATAATATTATCAGATACAGTACCAGAAGATGAGCCCCTCAGGTTGGAAGGCACTCAAAATACTGGGTAAGAGCTGCCTCCTCAAAGCAGAGCTGACCTTTATGATGTAAATCAACTAAAGCCTTCAGAGCCTTCATTTGTTGATGGGGAACAACTCAAAATGAAGAGAAACAGCTGTAGTAACATCCATTAATAATCAGAACAGGAAATGTATGCAGTATGAATCCAGGAAAATTGGAAATTGTCAACAATGAAAGGGAACTCATAAACATAGATATTAGTGAGCTGAAATGGAATGGTATTGGCCATTTTAAATATGACAGTCACATGGCTTACTATGCCAGAAATGACAAACTGAAGAGAAATGGAGTCTCATTCATCATCAAAAAGAGCATTTCAAGATCTGTCTTGAAGTATAATGCTGGATGGGATAGGATA